TTTTTTTTTTTTTTTTTTTTTAAAGAATATTTATTTTAAAAGATTTTGTATTATTCAAGTGACATTTTAAAAAAAAATTTTTTATTTTATTTTTTTTTTTTTTTGTTTTTCTAAGAAAGTGAAAAGAGATATTCGTACTTAATAATTATATATCATAAAAAAAAAAAAAAAAAGACGAGATATTAAAATGAAAAAATAACAGTAAAGATATTGAAATAAAAAAAAGTAAGTATATAAGAAAAAAATATATTCAGATTTTTTCAATTATACATTGTAAACACATAAAATATAAGTTTTAATAAAACCACATAAACATAATAAAATTCAACATTAGTAACAAAGATAGTAGTTAAATAGTATTCCTTATGAAGATATAGCCCTCTAAGAATAACAAATTAATCGAAGAATTAAATTGTATAAGTTATAAAAAAATAAAATAAAATAAAAATATAAATTTATATATTTATAGAAAAAAAAAATATATATTTAAGAAAAGATGGGAAACAAATTATTCAAAGGAAATAATTATGATATTTTGAGAAATAAGGGAGACATTTTAAACATTAGGAATTTCAAACCATTACATATTGAAACTTTTTATCCTCCTTTAAAAAAGTCTAAAAAAGTTTCCGTTTGTAGATGTTGGAAATCTAATAATTTTCCTTATTGTGATAACACACATCAAAAATTACAACAACAGGGAATTATATGTGGTCCTTTACTTTTAGAAATAAGAAAAAATAATAATATATATTCTCATTAAATGGTTCAACAAAAATAAAAAAACAAAAAAAAAAAAACTTAATTAAAATAAAAATATATATGAATCAGAAAAAAATAATAAAATATGAATACCAATAAATAAAAATATAAAAAAATGTTAAATTAAAAATTTTGTTTAAATTATTACTACCTTTTATTTTAGAATTTAATAATGTTTAATTTTAATTTTTGTTGAAACTTCAATAAATTCTTCTAATTTATTTTTTTATTTCTCATTTTAAAAAATTTTGAAAAAAAAAAAACATTCATGTTATTCTATTGTTTAAATTAATATAAAACTAGTTTACATTTATATATATATATATTAATTAAAAATATATATTTTTTTTTTTTTTTTTTTTTTTGTAAATTTTCAAACACATTTTAAAAAATTCTAAATTTCAAAAAAAATATAAAAATTATAGAAAAACCAAAATATTTTATAAATGTTAAAGAAAAAAAAAAAAAAAATTATAATAATAATAAAAATATTTCTGTGTTACTTATTAAAATAATATATACATACATATATATACATTAAAAAAAAATATAATCAAATATTTCTATAATTCTGAAATAATAAAATAAATTTTTTTTTCATCAACTTTTTTTTTTTTTTTAATTTAATCTACTTTTTCAAATAATATTGTAGCATCTAAAAGAATAACTTTGTGAAAAATTGAACAATCATAGAACCTCTCCATTATCTGATCAACTATATCATCAACTGATATTTCGTTTTTATTTGAAGTATAATCTTCTTCAAAGAATGTATTATATTTATATTTTTTTACAACATTTTTAATATCTAAATTCATTTCCTTTTCGATATATTTTGAGCTATAATTTACACCAAAAGAACTGTAAATTTCAATAATAAATGGGATTTTAGGTTTCATTTTAACTGTTAATACTACTTTAATTTTTTTTTTATCTAGAGTTTCATAAATATTTACATACTTTTTTTGTATAGGAACAGTTCTCATAAGAATTACTTTATATTTTAAAGGATTAAAAAAAAATGTCATTTTATCATCATAAATATATGGTAATACTTTCTTATCATTTATATTTTCAACTAAACATACATATCCTTCTGGTACTTTTTTGATCGTAAAATAAAAAAACAAAGTAGTAATTACACAGAATGTTATCAATTTAAAATTTTTTAATCTTAATAATTTAATTTTCTCTACTTTTTCTATTTTATCATCCCTTTCTATTCTATCTGTACTTACTAGATTTTCTTTACTTACTAGATTTTCTTTGTTTATTATATTTTCTTTGTTTATTATATTTTCTTTTTTTATTATATTTTCTTTGTTTGCTATTTTATTGTATTTCTTAATTTCATTAATAAAGTTGTTCGTTCTAAACATTTCTCTTTTTTCATGAAATCCATCAGTATTTTTTATTATTTTATTTATATTTATTAAATTTTTTTTATTCAAACTGTAATATCTTACATTTTGTAAATGAAATCTTAAAGTAAACAAATTCTTTTTCATTTTTATATCTTAATTAAATACCACATTTTATTAACTCATTTATTTTTTTTTTTCATATTTATAATTAATTATGAAAAGTGTGTTATTTTAATAAATGAAATATATAGTGAAATACTCTCACTTATTTTTACTTAGATTTTTATTATTATATTTTTTTTTTTTTTTTTTTTTTA